AAATTTAAGTGGTAGACACATCTTAAAATATAATGCTATACCTATCAAATAAGTACAGTGTTTATTATGGGTATTTTTATAATATGTAAGCTCTAAAATTATACAGTAATCATCACATTATACAGTACCAGCGCCCATGCGGTTAATTATAGAAGCTCAATTAGCATGCGTTTTTTTGGGACAGTATTTTGAGTATGCCGATTCGTCTCCTTATCTCTAGTTTTCATACACGCGACCTAGCAAAAAATTCAAAGTTAAGAACATTTTTAAGTATTTTCCTTAAACTATTAAATTGTCTAGATAAACAGTTCTCAAGATATGGGTCAGACGCCGCCCTTAAGTTTGATTTGGTTAGTATCTATGGATCTAAGGGATCTATTCTGTAAAAAATTGGTGTTAAAATTAATTTTCCGCGAACTTACATTAATCATTATCTGTCTCAATACTACTTTCTACTACATTAATTATGATTTCATTTATTTTGTTATCTATGTCCTGATAGTATCCATTTGCCACATTTTTGTTTTAAGTTTTTTAACGTTCTATATATTTTTTACATTTGAGCGTATTTACAGTGGTATAATAATTTTTAGGAGAACTTTTCGAACATCTGCTAGTTTTAAAGTTTTGTTTCATCTTGTGACTGTTTCTTTTATTTCAGCCCAAACAAGTTCGATTGCAATCAGCTCACAATGGTAAAGGGGCAGTCGTAATACTTAATTATGTTTAGCTTGAACCACCTCATCAACATATTTTTTTTGGGAAAAACTGTGTGTGGTTTTCAAGAAGACAATTCTGGATTTTCTTTTTTCGCCAGGCATTTGTAGGTACATTTTTAACAAGATGACTATGGTAAGGATCAATTCCGTTCAAAATTTTTTCAAACAATTCTTCAAACACGGTTGCATTCATTTCTTCGTAGTAGTCACCTATTTTTTTTGTTTCTAAAAAAAGTAGGAGGCTTTCATCAACAAATTCATTTGCACTACCAATATGCAGAACTATTAATCGACGACCCTTTCCAGGTGGAGCTTTTTAACCCAAAGACCAACCTTCCATGAATGCTTGATGAGAACTTTTAATGTTTTGCCAAATTTTTGAAATAGTATATCTTTCATTTACCCAAGTCTCGTGCAAATAATATATTTATTTTGTTTTCCTTCTTCACGTGCTTTTAGAACTGATCGTATATAATTTTTGCGACTACAAAATAAGTTCATCTCTTCCAATGAACATGCTGTTTCTATAGATGCTTTTATACACAAAATTTAAATTTTTTAAAATATTTCGCAGCGTTATTTTGCTCATACTTGCCAAATCAGAGTCTTTTTGCATTCTTGGTGTAATTACTTTAAAGAGGGGCTTTCGTTTTAAAAAAAAATAAGAATGAATTATTTGACGAACACAGATTTTACAAAAATCATCAACAACTATTTTTATCCAAGTTTCTTTAAAGGCTCCTGAATTTCTTCGTGTGCTTTTTTCCTTTAAAATTTAAAATGTACCTGTCCTTCAAATGCCAGTATATCTAGAACACATTTCGACTCAAATCATTTTCCGTTTCGTTGGGCAATCCGAAAACAAGGCGGAAAAAACATTTTCTATTTTTTTCTTGCCAAAACTCAGGTTTTTTCTGCGACTTTTTGAGATTACTGTACTCAGGTACATCTTTTTTTTTAATAAATACCATAAAATAAATGAGCAAATAATAGACTAGGTACACTTCAAAATACTACAATTCGTTTTTATTAATAATAGTTTTAAAAATATGTGAAACCCACTTCTTAATCTATATCTATAATCAATTAAATTTGAAAAAAAAAAAACTATAATATAATCTACTTTGTTTTGTATTTAAATATTTTTATCCACGCCACTGGATGATCCTCATATTGATAAGGTTTGCAAAGGTTTGGAACCGACTGTAAGTGCGTATAGATATAACGGCCCGGGCCGCATATTCGGAAACCGCCGACATGTTAGGCACTCGGGAGAGTTCGATGCCTAGAATGACAAACTCGTAAAATCTAGACATGTTAGAAGTAATAAATTTTTTCCTTTGCATCGAAAGTCCAGCACTGAGCTATTCCTCTTCTGAAAATATCGTTCCATTTATACAAATTGTATGAATGGAATGATATTTTCAGAAGTGACGTAGCTCAGTGCTACACTTTCGGTAATTTATGAAATAATAAATGTTTGTTTACTGTTAGACCTATGGTCTGTGGTTTACTGGACATCAATTACCACTCATCAGAGACAAGTCATAATAGGTGATTTTAAACTAATAAAATTGTTAATAAATACAAAATGAATTCAAAGACATTACCTAATACCCCATGGTTTGTATACAGCTGTCGAATATAAAGAAGTATTTTGTAAAAAGAAACGAACTCAAGATACATGAAAAAAAAAGAAAGCATATATATTAGTACAACCTACATCTATTGGTCGCAAAAAGACAACAATGGGAGCAAACAAGGCAATGTGCAGTGGAAGAAAACTAGTTGAAAATAGAGGTAGAAAGCACCTCATTCATTGGCGACGTTTGTTAAAAATTATGTGGGACTAGGAGGAAATAAGTCAAAAAATCAGTTTCAGTCAGTATTTAGATACATTAAATTTTCTTTACATTAAAAATGAAATTTTTAATAGCAAATAGAAACCAGTTACGAAATGCTTTGTTTTATGTAACGAGTGAATATTTGCGGGACGAACAGAGCGAGGTCCTAACATGAACGAGTAATATAAAACGGCATTTCGTATCGTATTACATACAATATTCTAATTTTGACTAAAATTTTATTAAAATTGTGTTTTAGTTAAACATTACTGACAATTAGGTAACTAATATTACTTTCTTGTATTTTTAGTTGCATATGCAGAGTATGTTTATTAAAGTTATAGTTTTCAAAAAAGTGGGTTATTTTGTCCTGTATTGTGTTTTAGTTATTTTGTGCTGATTTGAACTGGAAAATAAGGACCAAAACAACATTATTACTAGATGTCAACCTACCCTTCTTTGATATAAACTTTCAATAATAATGTATATTATTGATTTTAAAACAAAAAAAGTTTTATTTTTATTCGTTTTCTTTTCGCAATTGGTGACAATAAATTTTTCGAAACCAATTTCATAATGTTCAACATTATGCAACTGGTTGCGTAAAGTAGATTATTTTGACACTTGCTGCAATTACAAAAAAATGTTCACTTTATATGTCAAAATTAGAAAAAAATATGTATGCGACACTAATTTCAATGTATTTACTTTTATTAAATATGCAATTATCGACCTTGAATTTGAATTAATTTTCCTAATTATATGCGCTATTAAACTAATATACCTATTTTAATATCATCTAATTGTACATAAATGCATATAGATGAGAAATGACACGTCGAGATTTTACGAGGCTGTTATTCTCGATACCGAACTATCCAATTATTTAACGTACCGGCGGTATCCGAATATGCGCCCGGGCCCGGGCCGGTCCCAGGCCAACAACGGTCCCAGGTTCGTCAGATTTGTACTAGGTTAGGCCTGTTTTAGACCTCTGTTGCCTTCCATAACGGTCCATTTTAGATCATGTATAGGAAAAAAATATAGATAATAATACCACAAACAAATCTTGTTGAAAGAATTTAATTCTATATTCATAAATAACAGAACAGAAATATACCTTAAGATATAAAAATTCTCTATTATAAAGTATCCCCCAGGGGCCCTATCCTCGGCTATCGTTTTCTGAAAAACGTATACGCTTTAGCAATATACGAGCTATTCGCTATTCTCGACATTCGTTTTAAAAGCGTGTACGTTTTTAAAACGAGTGTGTTACAGCGAGCGGAATTTTTTACACGTTTTTGATAAAACGTGCATGTTTTCAAGGATTTAGTTAATGTCACTTATATGTCACTTTTAGGATGATTAATTGATTTGAACAAATTCTACTTTTTATTAATACCTACAAAAGTATCTAATTTTTTACAAATATGGTTTGCAGTACATACTAAAACAGTCTAATAGCTGAGAATTTCTTTCAATTATTATTAATACAATAATTAGTACAATTATTAGAAAACTTGGAAGATAAAAATGATGGAAGATTCAGACATGCAGAGGCAGAATCCATTTTTTGAATTTAATGGATATTGAATGAATATATTTTATATCTTACCGTGTAAGAATTTAATTATTAATTCGTGTATGTTTTATTTGCTTGCGGTTTCTTGCAAGTGGTAGTTAGTTAGTCACACGTTGTGTCGAAAAATTTTAACAATTTTGTAAAATTACCACAAATATTAAAGAACTGAATTAGATAAGTAAAGTTATTATTTAAATTAATTTTGTACCATAAAAACTAGGTTTTTATGACGTACGATTTTCCTAGAATTATAGGTTGCATTGACTGCATACGTATAGCTATTTTTCCGCCAAAATTTAACGATTTAGTTTATCCTGAACATTGATATATTATGTGATTAGACAAAATCATCATTCGATAAATTTACAATTGGTTTGTTGTAATTAAATTACATAATCCTTATTTTTTATGGCCTGCACATTACTTTAATTCAGCGATATAGACAGTTTACAGTGATGCCAGACATATTATTTGCTTGTTAAAAACGTACACGTTTTAAAAAGCGAATGCTCATCGAACGCCAGTCAAGAATATAGATTTTAAAAACTACTCGCTTTTCAACCACTCACTTTCGAAAACGGTTCGTTTTTTAGCGGTTGTCGAGGATAGCCGCCCAGATGCTCCGACTATGCCCAAAATCTAATCAGCTCACCGCAGGATGGATTAAGCTTAAGTTTAAAATATTGTGTTTTCTCTTTATCCGTTTTTGAGTTATCGTGAATCCAGATTCACAGATATTGACGGTTGAAAAAATCCCAACCTGTTATATATAATTTCATGGTAAGTAATAATTCAAAACTTTTATTTGAAATCAATTTTATTTTGTTAAACAATTTAATTTTGATGATTTACTTATTCCTGGCGACCCGTCCAAGCTCCGAATAACCTAAAATTACAGCACATTCTGACTGTCAAAAAGTATATTATTTCAGCTGCTGATAATAAGGAAAACCCAGTAAAGAGACCTAATAATCCACCAAAATTTGCTAAAAAATCTGTAGGACCGTAGAGCTCATTTCTTTCTGATGTCAAAAAGGAATCGTGTTCAAAATATACTAATAGTTTGGAGTAGTGTTCCCTGAAAATTAAAAGTTTCAATTATATTTTTACATCAAAGATTAGAAACAGAGCTGTGCAAAGCACTCGAAAAAAGTCTTTGAGCAACAAGCCCTTTGGAAATTCGAAGTGCCTTGCAATTACCAATTACTGAGAAAATAATTGCACAATTCAATTACCAAGCACCAATTCAGCAATTACTCAAACTGCAAAATTTTGTGAATAAATTTGTTAATGACAAAATGTATTTTTCACCACTGTACTCTTAATGATTGTTGTCGCAGTTGTAAATGGTTGGCATAATAGTAATTTTAGTCCAAAGTTCGAAAAACCATGCAAAAATGACGAATATAGGATTTTTTTTTGTTTGAATCTTTAAAATTCAGTTCCATTATTTTTAGGAGCGATTCTACATAAGAAAACAAGAAAATTTCTTCATATGAACATAGTTTCGGAATGCACAACTTTTTTTTATAAATATCAATATTAATATCTTTTAGCCGATTTTCTTCAAATTTGGCAGTTGTTTAAAGCAATAAGGGGCCAATTAGCCCCAACAGGATGAAAATTATTAAGTTCAGTGGCGTCCCAAAAACACTTCCAAATTTTAACAAAATCGAGTAAAGGATATTAATGAAATTTATAAAAAAAACCGATTTAAAAAAGTTGACACCCTGTGAAATTTTTATGTTTTCTTACGTAGAAGCACCCCTAAAATTATTGGAACTGAATTTTATGACACTCATATGTTAACAGATTTGGAAAAAAAATTCATTTACCATATTCGCTATTTTTGCATGGTTTTTCAAACTTAGGACTTACATTAATATGGCAATAATTTACATCAGTAACCAATCAATAAGAGTATATAGTGCTCAAAAAGACATTTCTGTTATTAACACTTTCGCAGTGAGATCTCATCATAAGAAATTTGGATATAAATCAAAAACAACAAACTAAATAGAAAAACGGTAATAATTTATAAGCAAGCACTTAAAATCTAATTATTGTGCTTGCAAGTCATTTAGTGCTTGAAAGCCTTTTAAGTGCTTGGAAGTTCTTTTGGGTGATTGCAAGCACTTTAAATGGCTTGAAATGCAAAATTCAATTACCAAGCACTTTCGAGGCAATTACTGTCCAGCTCTGGTCTGTGTGTATGTATAGCTAACATCAATGAAAAATTGTACATGGTGATTCATAACTATTAGGCCAAAGGCAGGTTATTTGGATTAAAATATGGCGATAGGGCCAAATATACCTTAATAAAATAATGCTGTGAAATGGGTAATGTTTCTCGAAACAATACAACATTTAAATTACCTGCGAAATTTGTTTTTGAAGGCATCATATATAAATGGAGAACATTGGAGAAAATGAATTGATTATTTTAAAAAGGTGGAAAATTCATTTTGGAAAGTGGATATAGCAATGTAAAACTTAATAGATCCTATAATAATAAACTTCAGAAAAGACAATGATACCAGTAGTTATAGTGAAGACAGACTTTTAAAGATAGTTCTTGACATTTTAATTTTTTTAATCTTTGATTTTAGGTACTAAAGTGTTACTTTTAATGCCAAGAGAATAAAAATCTGTAATCCCATTAACAACATATAATTCTCTTTTTTTTTTTTTTTTGTAATTTGGTGTCATCGGCATCGACTACTAAAGCCATGTTAGCCTCGTGTTCTGTGTATGCTTTGTTATTTATTGGTTACATGTATTTCGGTTCAATGTTAAAGTGCAACAATTTTATCAGAAGCATGAGTTTTATTTTTATTTTTTGTAAATAATATAATTTTTTTTCATTCAAAATTTAATCTACGAAGTGCGTATATACCATATTATACGCCGTGATTTTATTAAACTTATTTTGCAAAGTATGTCTGGATTTTGACGTTATATCCCCACTTTTACTGCACTGCTCTTTTATTAAGACTATATGTATACGAAAATGTTTTAGTGTACCCAATGTAATACTTACTCATCAGGGAAACTTCTATTTTCACCTACATTCCATTGCGGTTTGAAGTCCCAAGGGGACGAAGAAACTTCCGAATCGTAAGTTATGTCTGTACAAAGAGGTTTACAATCGCAGTAAAAGCTTTCTTCATAGTCTATTATTTGTTCTTCCAATTGCTTCATTTTTAATCGTACTGAAAATATTGAAGAAAATAAAATAAACAACACAATAGTTATTTTTAAAGAATCGCTTTGTAAAGATAAAGTTATTTATTTTGTTGACTACTACTGGATATTGAAATTTGTATGTCATCAAAAGAACTTCCTTTTTTCTACATCCTCATATATCTATTTACATATTATCTATTTTATGGATAGACTATTGAACGAAAAATTAGGTCATGTAGGGATGTAGGAGACCCGGGAGACTTTGGACACGGGAAGAGAATGGAACGTGTTTATATTTCCCGTAACGTATGTTACATTAAGGGATAGGTGCTGACTTTATAAGACTGTGACAGGATTATATAAAGTATCCTTCTTGGAAATTTCCGGTACTTTTGTTATTAGAAAAAATCTCAGATCTATAGGATAAACGGTTCCTTGGATATGGCCGACGTCTTATCGTATTTGAATACCCGCTACTTCATGTTGATTTGAAAGAGCTTATCTTGGTATATGTAAGGTTTTCAGCTGCATTTTTAACTTTTTCATGAATTTTTGAGAATTAAGTTATTAGTTATGCACCTAGAGGAAACATGCCTATGATGGCATACTTAACTTTAAACTCATTTTGAGATATTTTCTCGGGGTTTAGGAAGTATGGAGAAGGAGAATTTTTATAAACATTTACGTGAATATTGACAGTAGGTCAACAGATTTGACATACAATTCATAATTTTTTGAAAAAAAAAAAAAGAAAAAAGAAAAATAGCAAGTGTGCCATCATAGGCAAGCCTCTTCCATTGATGGCACACCCTAAATTTTTTTGTTACTACCGTATTTTTATTAAAGTAAGTTAAAAAAAATCTCACAAAAAATCAATAAACGGATAAATTAAAAATAGAAAAACTAAAAAAATACATATGTCACTCACAAAGTTCGCAAACGATTTTTTTTACTCGTCTATCGGCTCCTTCACACTCACTGTGACACCATGAGAGGCACTTTGGACAAGAAATCGATGGCAAATACAAATCATTGCCAACATTGTCCTCATCATCATCAAAGTCTTGAATCTCATTAGCGTCACTTCCATGGTTCAATTGTTTTTCAACCAGAATTTTCCTTTTTGTTTTTCTGAATAGTTTTTCCCTTTCCTTTCTTGCTTTTTCATCTGCGTCCCTTTTCAATTCATCAATGTCGGGTGTTGAATTTATGTATCCTTTTTTGATGAGTTTTCTGATTCTTTTGTTGGGTGTTCCTGGCGTAGCTTGAGGTAATGGATGCAAATCCTGAATTGAAAATTTGCATTTCGTAGGTGACGAAATACCCCAGTGCTGCAGATTTTGGATTTTCACAGAACATTTGATTCCACTTCTATAAATACTGATTTCACTTTAGTGGGTTCCGGTGATTTGGTTCCATGTTTGTAAAAATCAACATCTACATGATGAGGTTTATTGATTGTTCAAGAGGTTTGAAAAAATCCAGTCCTCAAAGACATTTTCATTATATATTCCTGTTTTGGTAAAAGCGCTTACTGCATTTGCAGGTGTAGCAGCTTTTAAATAAGCTTTATTAAAAAGGCCTGCTACTTGGAAATGTGAAACAATTCTACCAGGATTTTGCTTAAGCCATATCTGAATTTCTTGTCCGTAGTAGGTTTGGAGTGGTGCAAAAAATCCAACATCTAATGGTTGTACTCGATGAGTACAATGCGCGGGGAAGCAAAACAGTATTACACCGTTGTCCTTCGCGTATTGTAGCACTTCTAAGCTTTTGTGGCTATTATGACCGTCCAAAAAAAGCAACACTTTATTTTCTTTTGTAGCTTTTGTGTAATGTACAAAATGCTTCAACCACTGCACAAACAGCTCCTTACACATCTAGCCATTTTCCTGGCAAAAGGCATTGCTACCAATAGGTGCATTGTCTATAATTTCATTTTTCATCTTCTTCCTCGGAAAAATAAAAACAGACGGTACGAATATACCTATCGCATTCATGCAACATACCACCGTGAAGTGCTGACCTCGTTCAGCCCTGGACAATGCTCCAACTTGTTTTCGCATTTTGTAGCAAGAACTTTTTGAGATCGTTTTTGTATTGTGCTGAGGCCAGACTCGTCAACATTGTAGATGTTTTCAGGTGTAAATTTATGTTTTTCCATGACATTCAACAGTTTAAAATATGCTGCAATGTTTTCTTTGTTGAATGCCTTTGTGGATTCCACTTCAAAGATCCCTTTATCCATTTTTGACCACCTTCTTTTTTTTTGCTAAAGGGGGTTTTTATATCATTTTTGTGTGCAAACTTAAAAATTAATTTTTGTAAATCTTTAAGCGTCAGGCCAAAAAATCGAGTTTCCATTTCTCTAATATGTTGGACGAATTCTTCTGCAATCTCCCGACTGAATTACCGGTCGTACTCCTCCTAAGTCGCCTTTTATACTATTACAATGGTTTTTAAATCTTCTGCGTAATGTTGTTGTAGGTACATTAAATGTCTTTGATGCCAAGAGCCACTCCATCTTTTTTCTTCCACATTTTTTAAGGCCATTGCCATGTCTTCCTCCCGCCATTGTTGCCTCTTAGCCTTCGTTGTCATTTTAATTTAGTCTGCAAATAAACATTCATGTATTTAAAATAATAAAATACTTCAATTCTAAATTTATTTCAAAAAAGCTATGATGGCATACTATGCCATTTTATCAACAACAACATAACCTAAAACGATACACAGTACTTAATGCACCACATATTTACATAAGTATAGACAAACTGAGTATTTCTGAGTTTACTTATAGAGAACGAGATTTACGATTTATTGGCATATAAAAATTACTTAAATACTTACCAAAATATTGTTTTTTTTTACACAACTTTAATCAATCGTTGGATAAACACATTAGCATGGAGGAAGGATTATTACACATTAGTTAGTAGGACTTCTTGCAACTGTATTATTCGTCTGACAAACACATCATTTGCGCGGTAAATTCACATGCCTATGAAAAATCGTCAATATGCCATCATATTCATGTTTCCCGTATATTTAGTTAACAGTTTCAGTTAGCAAAGGGGACATTTTTATTTTTGTGTTGTGTACAAAATTAAATCTTTTTACAAGCTTTTTATTAAATTGCAATGTTTGTATGTTTGTTTAGGTCAAATTGGGTCAAATTTTAAAACAGTTATCCTCAACTGATTAATCTGAATTTTTGCATGCTCGTTTTGTTTGGATGATAGTGAGAGATTAGCTAAGTGACGTCATTCTAAATCCAATATGGCGGACCCCAGATAGTTAGTCCCTTGTTGGTCCCGGACCTAAATAGGACGTCCACTGGACTTCCGATTAGCGTAAACACTAGGACGTCTTTTGGTACCGTTTCGACAAAGCGTTTAGTTTTCGGTCCGAGTCCAGGACGTTAATGGGACGTCTATGGGACTTTCTATGTACTAGCATCGTTGGTCTTTGAATCGATAACTTGAAATTCAACGTTTTGTTTTTGCAAGAGTATGAGGACAGGAAACCTAATCTATCATTTATTTTTAAATGAACAACAACAGCTACAATTTTCGGCAATAAATAATTAACTTGTGTGAGTTAGATTAACGAAGAAAAAAGGTTATATAGTGTTATTTGTTATTTTTTTGATGTTGGTGGTAAAGTGGTTATAAAGTGAAGTGAGTGTTTTGTGTTGAGGTGAGAATAAGTGATGTGTATTGGCGGTAGCCGCTGGCGGAAAGAAAAGACCTTAATGGCGGAAAGTTGGAATAAAACTAATTTTGACAAAATTATAAAACTCAGTTACACAAGCTATAAGTAGGACCCAAGGTTTCATCTTACCAGCGCTGTGTGTTAAATTTAATTCATTCCTGTTTTTTTTTGTAATGAAAACGTTTATAGCTAGTTTTTTCAGGATAAAAGTTGTTAAATAAAGCCCTTTTATTTATTTTTTTTAATTTGGTGTCATCGGCGTCGACTACTACGGCCATTAGCCTCGTGTTCTGTGTAGGATTTGCTGTTTCACAGCGCCACTTTAGGACAGCACTGTTAATTAAAACCCAACAGTGAATGGTCAAGTGGGGAATCCTACCAAGGCATAAGAATTAATTTTGTTAACATTTTTGTTATTATTACCCTTTATGGATTATGGTCAAATATCGTCCCTCGGACGTCTGATTTACGTCCCTATGACGTCCTTTTGGGATGTCCCAGGAACGTCCCTAAGATAGACGGAAACGGGACATTAGGACGTCCATTGGACGTCCGATTGACGTCTCGGTACCAAAAGAGGACGTCCCTCGAACTTCCTTTATGTCCCTGAAGGACGTCTTTTAGACGTCCGTGTGCTATGTGGGACTCCCAAAGATGCCGGATTAGTTATTTTTATTAATATATTTTACTATTCATTTTCTCTATTATGCTAGTCCACTGTGTCTCCCCCTAGTATACTGCAATGAGCCGTTGGTAGTAAGACCTGGTGATAATTATGGTTTTTTATGGAGCACAAACGGAGGTTAAATTGGCTTTTTTGTGGATTTTAGGATTATAGGTACGAAAAGTGTCCAAAGTAGCCTGTGTTTCCCGTACACAATTTCACGGTATGCTACTAATTTGACCGAATTTTACACTGTATGCGCATGATGTAGCTTGGTAGACAGCAAATAGCATTTCGCTCAAGTTTATATAAGAATTATATTTTAATAGTTTCATTTTTAGTTATAAAGATGTTAGTTAGACGAAACAATTATATAGGTACGTTAATTTTAGAAGATTTTAAAGAAGAATTAAAAGTATTTTGCTTGTGTGCTGTTCATTTTTGAAGTTTTTTAAAAGTTTAAACAAGTTTTGCTAGTGTGCTGTTCATGTTTAGATGTTTTTAAAGGGTTTAAATTAAATATCGTTTGTGTACGATTGTTATGTTATATAGGTCTTCTCCTATTATTTTGTGACGGAAAATTGTCGAAATTCACATATTTAAAAAAATCAATAATGGGAATGTTCATATAAAGTTTGTACAAAAAGTAATGTAACTTATTAATATTTCGATCAGAACAAGTCAAAAAAAAATATATTGTAAGGATATATTTTTTTAAATAGCACACTGTATATTTTTTCAGATTTTGGTACTCTATTAAATTTAAAATACAATCGTTAAAATCTTATAGTGCCAATTTTATTAATTCGAAAGTTATATTTATTTGAAAACAGTTATTTGTGTAACAAGGCCGTAAAGTTGATCTTTTTTGACCGAATCAGAAATCTGCGGCCGAGGAGGAGCCGAGGCCAAGCAACTTCTGGTGCGGCCAAAAAAAGATCCAACGGCCGAGGTGCACACAACTTTTTTTAGACGACTCTCCCATGATAGTCTGGCAAAAAAGGTATCGATATACTCTATACTTTATATAAAATATTTGATACATTAGTTTTTAAATATATTATGAATATATAACTATTACTTTCTTTGTAATTTGTCACAAATTGATACGAGGTACTTTCTAAACGTAGCAATTGTAGTTTGTTTTTCTGTACCTTACAAAAATATAATTTATAGAAAAAGAGTTTGGTGTAATATTTTTCCAAGTTTAAATATTCAATAATCAATAGAATTTTTAAGTTTTTTTTAGCAAAATTTAATAAAAACTATGTTCACTGCTTATATTAAACTGATTAAAACTTCCTTTATTAAAATGATTATTTATATGATAAAAAATTTGATGTTATTGGAAGCTTTTATATTTTTTAATATACAGTGGAACAATAGTTTTTGTTTCTCCTGTATATTTGTATAGAAAAACTATTTATTTCCGAATCCATGTTTGAATTTCCCGCCCTAATGCATTTTTAATTTTCCCGCTATTTACTAGTGGCGCCATCATTGACTGGTTGTGGTTACAATCGCCCAAACAACTTTTACCGAACAAAAAAATACATTGAGTTACACGTCTCGCTGGGTTGTCTCTGCTAATAGCCTCTAAATTCAGTTTTAAAATTTTGTAGATTTCGTAAGTGAATCGCAGAAAAAAAATTAACGGCACAGCGCTCAAGTAGGTAGTGGTAGTATTGCACTCAGACGATTTAAAACTCAGCCTACGTCGTCGTTCTCAAACTTCGTCTTCGTGCGATATGGCCATCATCAGTATTTAATAAATCTAATATAAAGTAATCATTTCCGCATCAGAACCTTAAAAACAAAGTAACTCCCTAATCATTTTAGTAAAATCATGTGTATCATGAAATGTCGAACCTTCTCTAGAATTATCTAGAACAAAGCTATTATTTTAATTTTATAAATTATAAAAACTTATTAAAAATGGGTAATAGTAGTAGAAAAAGGATAGTGTTCAACTCACAAGAAATGCTCATTTCCTAGAAGTATGAAATTTACAGCATGAGCAATTTACCATAACTATATAAAATATTGTAGTAAGTTTGACTTATGTTGCATTTTTTGTTAATTATCGCGTACGAAAATATTTTTTTGGAAAACGTGTGAACTATAATGTCAAACCAACAAAGGTGCCACATTGTACCTACTACCTACTGCGATTATAGAAAAATAATGTTTGTTATTGGTTATACTTACATTCAGCTCTTTCCATACACATATAGTTGGCATTACCACAAATTGGAGTTCCACTTACTCCTGCAAAATTGAAGATTTATTCTAAAATGCTACAAGGCCGATAACATAGGTACCTATGTTTCATAATACACACATCGCCAAAATTCTTGGACTCCCTTATGTTTGTCAAAATGAGACACTATTATTAAAAGTCAAGAAGTGTGTTATATAGTACATTTATTTTGGTTATGTATTCAATACAAATTGGCTGAATTAAATTTTAACTGAACAAGAAAAAAATACAAACGAAAAATAGTGCATAATAAAATTATTACTAGAATTTGAAATGCAGAAGAAAACCACTTTAGAGCGAAATCAAAAATTCTTTAATATTCGGTGTGTTCTCCCCTGTTCTGTAGTAAGGTATTAACTCGCCTGTGCATGGAAACAATAAGGGTGTTAATGTAATCCATTAGGATGTTGTGAGTTCCTGGAGGGTGACAGGAGGATTAATTCTGTTTGAGATTGCTCATCCAACGAAAAACCACATGTGCTCAATGGGATTCATATCTGGCGAATTTGCTGGCCACGGTAATCTTGAAATATTACGCATTTCTAGTGCATTTTGTACCCTTCTCGTGCGATAGGGCCTAGCATTGTCATCAATGAAAATAAAATTGGCTCCAATTTAATTTCGGAGAGGATAAATAATGGGTGCAATAATGTTTCGAACATATCTATCGGCTGTCATAGTGTCTGGAATGGGAATAAACTGCGTACGACGACCATGCATTATGCCTCCCCAAATCATTACTGTTCCTCCTTGGTATGGAACGACTTCTCTGGCAAAAGATAGTCTTTCTGGTCGTCCTGGTCCTCTCTAAACTTTGTGTCGCCGACTATCACTAATTAAACCATATCTGGTTTCGTCCGAAAAAAGAACATTTCGCCACTGAACTAAAAGCCAGTCTCTGTGTTCCTGTGCCCACTGTAGACGAGCAGCTATATGTCTGGGAAGTAACCTGGATACTCTTAATGTCCTAGATCGTAAATTGGCTCCAACAAATCTCCGTCGTATTGTGGTACTGGAAATGAATTGACCATACGTTCTTCTAAAATGAATTCGGACAGTTGATACTGTTACGGTTCGATTTCGACGTACATAACCTGCTACATAACGATCTTCTCTTGTTCCCCTTGGACGCCCAGTCCCACGTCTCCAGTCAACGCTGTTAGTTTCCTGGTACAAACGCACTATTCGGATAACTGAAGCGCGGCGAAGCTCTAGTCTATCTGCGAATCGATGACTCGGCAGACCCTCATCATGCAAAGCCACTATTCTTTGCTCTATTACACTGAAATTCTATTGCCAGGCATAGTTGTAAAGAAAAACTCAACAATCACTTAAACACGCAAAATCGATATGAACCACCTTTTAAACATTGGTACCTAAAATTGTGGGAAATTGTTTTTGTAAACATTTTTAGATGCGTATCAACGGTGAAATAAATAAAGATTAAATGTCAAAAAAAAAACAGCCATGATAAATATTTAATTTTAATATTTACGAGGGGTCCAAGAATTTTGGCGATGTGTGTAAAAACGTAATTTGAGATACATGTTAAAGAGGTTTTACGTTCCTCAGTTCATATGATAACAAGTCAAGGGCGGCCCAAAACCGAAATTATAGGAGGTATTATTTAAATCTGGACCTGGAACTTTCCGATATTCTCTAAAAAAGGTTTATCCAGTCTATAGTATTATTAGTATAAATTATAACCATATGGGGCTTGGTCATCAGTCATCTTGAGTCATTGGACTAATAATTCCTGTATCATTGAATATAAATATACGAATACATTTAGCCGAGGGGAAAACCACTAAGGTCAAAACCTACCCGTATTTCGAAAATCACTTAAAATTCGTATGATTTCGGTGATTTTGCCGAAATTTCACTTAATTTTATACGATTTCGGTGACCTCGGCGAAATTATTGTCCTATTAATAATTAAATAAATAAAATTATGTTGAACCGTTTAAGCACTATAGGTTTGGTTCCATCTTTAACAGCTACCCTGTATATATTTTGGATTTAACGGAACGTGGAATGACACAGAATGCAAAAATTTTGGATGCTAATAAAAAAAATACTGAAGAAACTCGAAACAATTAAAATGAAAAGTTGACAAAGACAAAGCTTACTAAAAATAGCATCTTTATAACTACCCAATTTTTTAATAATTTGCTGAATTATTTAAACACACGTTTACCGACCTAAATAATAAAATATTTTGGCTCATTTTCAAAAGGTGAATGATATTGTCTCTAGTATGTGTTAAAGAGTTTATTATATGTTGATTCAGCTGTTGAAATTATTCATTTAACAAACGAATTTATTAAATAGCTGCTTTTTCCTAATTTATTACTTTTTCTAACGAGTAAAACAATGCGTTCTTTTCAGTGGCGTAGCGTGTGCCAAAGGGCGGAGGGAGCGAAGCTTTTCTGGGGCGCCCAAACTTTTGTCTTAAAGTTTTTTTTAATCGAATAATGAGATATGCAGATAAACAGAAATACTGTTTGGAGATTAGACATATAATTCAACAGTCACCAGAAATCGCAAACGACTAAATCATCTTTCGGCTCCAGCACTAATTGTTGTCAAAGTATAAAATATTTTTTCTAATCTTGACATATAAAGTGACATTTTTTGTAATCGCAGTAAATGTCAACCACTTGCATAATGTTGAACATTATAAAACTGATTTCGATAAATACATCATAAGTAATATACATTATTATTGAAAGTTTATATCAAAGAAGGGCAGGTTGACTTATACAAATAGAATGTTGTCTTTATTTTCCATTCTAAATCAGCACAAAATAATTAAAACACAATACATGACAAAATAACCCACTTTTTTGAAAACTAACTTTAATAAGCTCTGCTCGTCCCTCAAATATTCACTTGTTACATAAAATAAGGCATTTCGCAACTGATTTCACAAATAGCTATAGTTTTAGATAAACACTCTTCAAATCGTTGGATACAGATTTGTCATAATTACCATTGCAAAGTAATTGAATTACCAATTACTAGGCAACCAAAAAACTATGCAAATTACTAATTACTTTAGTTTTTCAAAAGTGCTTGCAATTATTAATTACTCATAAAAGGAATTGATTATGTCCAATTATAATAATTCAATTGCTTTTGCTAGTAATTCAATTACTTCATCTGCGCCAAATACCTTTAAAGTAATTGAGTTATTCCATTTAATTGAATTACCGACGAGTTTTCATCAATCAATTTAATCAAAGCTTCATGTTAATCTTAAGAATATTATAATATTACAAAAACAATGATGGTTTACAACAGCGTAATTTCTTAATCAATTATTTTAAAAAAACGTCTTTTACATATTTAATGGAGTTTACCAGTTGCTCGAAGTGAAGATCAGATAAAGCGTGTCTCCTTAGCATTAATGATTTCTGCAAACGAGAACAACCTTTCTATCGGGGCCGATGAAGGAAGATAAGTGTTGAATTTAAATAAATATAGTTTAAAAAAACGAAAAAACACGCTTTTAGAGCATATATCAAACTAACAAGTTATTTTTTTTAATATGCTTTTATTCAAATAAGCTTAAAACAATAATGAATGGAAAAACTAGTATTATTGTGAAAAAAGCGTCGGGCGCTCGATGTACGAGAAATATGGACAAAGCGCCCCCCACGCTTTTTTCACAATAATACTAGTATTTTTCATTTATTATTGTTTTAAAGTTTATTTGAATAAAAGCGTGTTAAAAAAATTATTTTTAACTTTTTAGTTTGATATGCTGTAAAAGCGTGTTTTTTTAGTTTTTTTAAACTATATTTATTTTTCACTTTTTAGTTCGATGTATTATAAAAGCGTGTTTTTTTGTTTTTTAAACTATATTTATTTTTTACTTTTTAGTTCGATTAATTATTTAAAAAAAGCCGTGGATGGGATTAGAACCGCTCGGCCAACGAACGAACTTGAGGTAGTGTGATGTACTTATAGTAATAAGCCACATGCTTTTAGTCCAAAGGAGAGTTACAAACATACATACATACATACATACAGGTAAAGCAAATAAAAGCGTGTTAAAAATAAATATCTCATGACAGAGTAATTATTTAGAGCAGTAATTTCTGCGTTTGGATCATTAAGGTATTGCAAAATTTCCAATTCAATTTTTTTCTTATCACTGCTAGATTTCGTTGTTGCAGCTGGTAAATCTTCTAGTTCGAAGAGATCATCTAATTTTGTTTGGTTGGTCTCTTCTTGAATCGTGTTTTCCGTATAAGTTTTCCTTTCGCGATCCAAAAATAAACAATGTCCAATAACGTCCACAAATACTTCAGAAAACTCAAAAAATGCAGTGAAAACCGCTCGTCGATATCTTTTTAATCTAGAATAATTATAAAGTTTCTACAAAGTGTTAGTTTATAGTAGGACACCTTGTATGCAAGGATACTTGATTTTGGTGTATGTATTTTAAAACGTTTGCTGAAATAATCTAGAAATTTAAACTCGTATGTTTATCATAACTTATATTTTTCCATGTAAAATCATTATTTCTCCGTACGCCCATAAACGGTAGCCGCTTTACAAATGATTCACCGAAATGCACTCCGGGACAATTCCACCGGCAAGTCTCGCATAATTTCTGCTAGGAGGCGCTAGCTGACGGATGAATTGAATGCACTTTTTAATTTTACATGTAGAAATCATAATATTAATTACATCGATATTTTATTATTCCAGTTTATCTAACAAAACCTTTAACACGTTCCCGCTGGGGCGACCCACCGGTGGGTCGCTAGAATAATATTGACCAGGCGTAGCGACCCACCGGTGGGTCGCCTAGGTCCTTTCTTATAGGTGTCTCGCTGTGTACATTTTACTTTATTGGGTTAAAAACTCAGACGCCTAACAATAAGGTTTAAATCAAAAGTTACCCGCCCTGCAAACATGTTGATATGATATGTGCTTGATCAGGATCGTGATTTTTATTAATTTTCATATAAATTATGATAGATATAGAAATAAAATA